AAGCTCAAGGACTCTCTCTTAGCTTCCATGGCCGCCTAGGGTTTCACACAGGAGAGTTGATCAGAAGATGAGCCGCAAATGAGGCTATAAGTGCCTTTAAATAGGTCACAGGCCCGAAAGTTTAGGGTTTCCTTCACCAGCGCTGACTCGGCGAGTCGAAACACAGACTCGTCGAGTCAGCTCATTAATCCTCGTCACCCAACGCGACTCTACTCGACGAGTTGAGGCACTAACTCGTCGAGTCGCCCATGAAACTCATTATTACAATAGAAATGTCATACCCCGGAACCAGGATGTTACATACAACAAAACCAAAAAGTAAAACAAATATATGAAATACTAACCAAAATTTATTATACCTTTAAGAAGTTATTAAGTAAATTATGTGTCTTACATGCTTCAGGTGCACTAGTACATTTGCTCATTTACTATCCCTAAGAAAATATAATACATTGTTTATCATATAACACGAATCATAAAAATGATAATTTTATTACTACAACAACAACAACAACAACAAACAAGTTGTATGGCCTTCCGTAATGCATACCACGAAGGGCTTGGTGGTCTAGGTGGTCACGATTGTGGTTCATGCACACTAGCCCAGACCCTCGTGGTTTTTTGTGTCCGTGGTCGATGGTGATGCCAACCATGGATTTATAACAACCAATGTAAACCAATTAAGTTTTGACTCTTCCTTTGACCATGTGTAACGGCTATTTGGGCATTTATTTTTATTTTTTTATTTTTTACCTATATAAATACCACTATAAACCTTACCACTACAAACTTTCTTATACTTCACACAATTATTCTCTTATTTCATTCAAGTTCACACATTTGTGTTGCTTTGCTCTTTAAAAAACCATGGCTTCGAAAACGATGAAGTGGTCAGAAGAGGAAAGAAGAGAACTTAGCACAAGCATGGGTATTGGTTTCAGAAGATGGAGATAGTCCAATTTCTAGAGATTTTTTGGGAAAAGTTCAACGCGTTTTCTATGGCTTAGTGGGTTGTCCAAGTCGAACTCTTGATGAAATATGTTCAAAGTGGCGCGATATGAGGGTTAAATGTTGCGAGTTCGATGGAATTTACAAATTTGTTATAAACAATGTATAAGAAGATGATATCGATATGGTTAATGTGTGCATGGATCAATACGAAAACACAAACCACAAACGTTTTGCATATCTCAAAGCTTGGAAAAAGTTGAAGAATTCCCCAATATGGATAAACATTGTTTAAAAAACGTAAGGTTAAGGGTGGTTGTTTGTGTTTGAATTTTTTATGTTTTTTTCTATTTTAATTTAAGTTCTCGTTTTTTTTTTAAAATTAATGTAATGTCTTTTTTTGAGGCAATATCCCAAGAAACCCTGGGTGGTTCGGTTGAGGCCACAGGCCAACAAACCCTATATGCATGTATTGTAATTGTTATTGTATTATTGTGTGGAGTACTTTGTGGGAACTCACTAAGCTTTGACTTATAGTTTGATTTTATGGTTTTAGGCACATCAGATGATCGGAGCAAGGCGAAGGCGTGATTGTGCACATCATCCTTGGATATTTTGTTGATAAATGATTTTGGGAGATTCTAATTTATAATTATGTCTTTTTGGAAACAATGAATTGAATGATTTATGAATTACTAAATGGTTTTAAAAATGAAATTTTGTCATGTTTTTGGGATGTTACAGACTTACTAGCGATTGGACTGACTTTGTTTTTCTTATACATATAGTAATTAACGTTTAATATATATATAAGGTGTATTTTAAAACTTTTCAAAATACAAGGTTTAAAATTAATTATTAAATTTTAAATTAATTAAATTAAAACAAATTATGATTTAAACTTTATCTTTTACTTAAACTTTTAATTAAATTAATTTAAATCATGTAGGGTTTAAATAATTATTTTCAATTAAACTACTAATCGAATCATTCAAATTTAATCCTATAACCTTCTAATTTTCAAAAATTAAGGGATAGGGTTACCAAGTTTTTAATTATTCAAATTTTAAGGGATTTAAAATAATAATTAAGGAAACTAGGCAATTTTGAAAATAAGGGGTAGAGGCTAGGGTTTCAAGAAACCATAGCCAAGTCGAAATTTTCAAAGGGATAGGGTTTATTTTCGATAAACCTAATTTTTGATCCATTCATATTACATACAATCAATAGAAAATAATAGCTCTGATATCAATGAATGGATTTATAGGTTATTAAATACATATGAAGAGAAAATCTTAACCCTTAAGTTCACATGCAACCTATAAATGGTCTATGTTTTCTCTAATTGATAGCAATAAACTATGAACATCAATAACCCTAAAGGAAACCTATTATAATCTAAATATGCATAGGATGAGGGTTACATACCTTTGATTTGTTGTAGTAAATAAATCAATTCAATCCCTTGTGTTTGTTGGTCTTGGAAAGCTAGCATCAAAAGGATGATGTCTTTAATGGCTCACACCTAAAACCAGGAACCCTATAATGAGGAGGATCGAGAGGAGATATGAGGGAAATTTCATTGCGATGCTTTGAGGTAATGTTTCATTTCCTTTTATGCATCCAGGAGGCTTCCAGAAACCCTAGGAAACCCTTTAAAATCGTCCATACCATGGAGGGTTCTAAAATTGCTTCTTTTGTTCAACTATTGAACAATTACAATTCACCCCTTGCACCTTTAATTAATTCTAATTAATCCCGAATTAATTCCAGATTTATTCTGATTAATAATTAATCAATTCTAATTGATTTCACATTAATTTATTATCATATAAATTAACAAATTAATTATTTAACAATTGATCTCATTTTAATTTATTAATCACATAATAAATCAATAATTCAACTATCTATTTCCAATTAATATATCACATAATATATTAACAGATCATTTTTCTATAATTTCCAATTAGTTTATTAATTATATAATAATCTAATAAGTTATACTTCTCTCTCCTAATATTATTTCTAGCTATTTCTGGTTATGAAGGAAACCCAAAAAGAACATTGCTTTTAACTACAAGAGTATACCAATTTAGTTATGAGTTTAGACACCTTAATCCAACATTACTACCATCCCCTTTAACTTCGTCTCTGCTTCTCCATATCTTCTTAACCATAACCGAACCTTTATAGCTAAGACACTTGACTTGAAGTCATGAATCAACGATGATGGGTGTAGAGGCACTAGAATCGACGATAATTGGGGTAGGTACGGCTGAAATCATCAATATACGGGGTTGGGGGCGCCAAGAGCCGATATTGCGGTGTAGGAGGTTAAGAATATAGCGATTTGGGAGGGAGGCATATGGGGGATGAAAAATGGGATGCAATTGAAGATCATTGAAAAAAAAATGAGAGGGAGCTGAAACTCAGTGACCCATTTCACCGACCATTTAGCGATGAATTTTTTTCGTTGCTAATCCCTGTCCAGTCCCTTAGTAAATGGCTAGTAAATACTTATGTAACTGATTCTGTCGGTGTACCTTTTTTTCTAGTAGTGGTACACTCATGATTTGAAATCTATAATTAAATGTTAATCACTAAGATTTAAGGTGTTTACTGAACAATTACAGATGATTACAAAGATCATACCCTTATCAATCACACTCGTTTGATGAATCTCATCAACAATTAAAATTGAATTTCTTGGTTACACCTCCAACAATAACATCTTAACGACTGCCTTTGCGACAGGATGATCAGAATAAATTACTAGCACTTACATAATCAGAAAAATACAACCACCTCTGTCATCATTAAAAAGACCAATCGATGTTCAAATCCAAAAAAAACATAACTCGTATATCTATTAAACTAAGGAATCAAAACCAGTTCAAACCCAAAATTCAAATATTCGATTCAACACAAATCAATTTATGTACCCGTGAATCAAAAATCCGATTCAACATGGACTAAACAACAATGGATAAGATACCAAAGAAGTATTACTAAATAAAAATTTTGATGTGGGAAAAGTGAAGATCTAAACAAAGAAAGAGAGTGAAAGTGAAGACCTAAACAAGAAAATCAAAGATCTATAATGGATACTAGACCAAAGAAGTACCAATGAACTACATTAGATTATAGATCCACTATACTGGCGACCACCATTGTAACTGAAATTTCATATCCTTATAGTTAAAATTCGAAAATTTAAATAGGGATAAGGGTGTTGTGGTCTTGTGGAACAAGAAATTTGAAGATTGATGTTCTTATACTGTGATAGTGGATCAAGCGGGGTCGGTCGACGGTGGTCTAAAGGTCTTCGGGGGTCGCGTTGGCTTTAGGGTTCTGTAGATGAGTTTGGAGAATAGAGAGGGAGAGAGAGAGAGAGCGCATGATGTTTTTTTTGGTTCTCAATGGTTGCTTCAAAAACCAAGAGTCATAGTTTATGAGTTCTTAGGCGAAATCTACAAATGTGTTTCGTGTTTCTCTTCTCTCGGGATAGAGAGAAGAGGGAGGCATAGCGTCTCAATGGTTGTTGAAGGTGGCCGTCGGTGGTGGAAGGTAAGAGGTGCTCGTCGACATTGTGGAGGATTCTGGTAACGGTTCGTAGGAAAGAGATAAATTAATTTTTATGTTTTATATGGACCAAAAATACAACAAAAACTATTATTATAATAATAAGATGGCCACAAAAGTCACTAAACGCTAAAACCACGTAAACCATTGGTTTAATTGTGGATGAAATTACAATTTCTCCCCACAAGAATTGTGTTTTTTAATTGAGACACGAATAGCTATATAATGTAGGGGCAGGCTACTAATATTACTGAATTGATCAACACTATTTTTGCTCTTGTGGATAAACATTTTCGTTTCCATCCTACTAATTTGCTGTTGAATCTGTCAACAATCTTCACCCACGAGTTCATTCAGTTTGGATTAGAATCTATATATAGACATTCTTCAATTTTCTCTGGATCTGTCAAAATTCATCGCTTTATCCAACATTTGCACGTATTATTAATACCCAATTCGAACAACTTTCCACTTCTATCACCTCTCTCGATCGATCAATCCATTAAAATACATAAACATATATTCAATGATGCCGGTGAGAGGAGGATACGCCGGAGACACAGCTCGCAAAGTGAGCTTCGAGGCACCGCGAAAGTTCACGACGGTGTTCAAATCCCATTTGAAGGAAACGTTCTTCCCGGACGATCCATTCTACGACTTCAAGGGGAAGTCATTGCCGGTGAAGGCTAAGAAAGCTATACAATATTTCGTTCCGATCTTCCAATGGCTCCCTAATTACAAGGCGAAGCTGTTCTTATATGACCTTTTAGCCGGAATCACCATCGCTAGCCTCGCCATTCCTCAAGGCATCAGCTACGCTAAGCTCGCTAACATTCCCCCTGTCATCGGTTTATGTAAGTTTCTTCCGCATTGTTAATTACATGCACCGAAGGTGTTCTACCAAATGCCTCAAAGGATAAATAAATTACAACGATGATCTTCCTCGAATACGTAGTGTGGTTAAACATATACAACAATGATTTTCACTATCAGATCATGATTTCAATTATTATGTGCAGATTCGAGTTTTGTTCCTCCTCTAATCTACGCTGTGTTTGGGAGCTCAAAATATCTAGCTGTTGGAACAGTAGCTTCAAGCTCATTAATCATAGCTGCAACCATATCAACAAAAGTGAACCCAACGGAAAATCCACAACTCTATCTTAATCTCGTATTCACTGCTACACTCATCTCCGGTCTAATTGAATTAGTTCTTGGTGTTTTCCGGTGAGTATTCATGTTCATTGACATTTGACACACACAAACTTCAAATTCATGCTTCATATTATCATATATAACTAATTATTTGATTTGATGTCAAGCTTTGTTAATTAAATGTTAATTACAGGTTAGGAATTCTGGTAGATTTCTTGTCACATTCTACAATCACTGGTTTCATGGGAGGAACAGCATTAATCATCTGCCTTCATCAATTAAAAGGCATTTTTGGTTTGAAGCATTTTACTCCACATACTGATGTTATATCTGTTATTCGTGCAATCTTCCAGAACAGAAAAGAGGTATTAATTAACTAATTAAAAATGATAATCACAAAAGAAATAACAAAAACAATAATTTAATATTATGGTTTTCTAATTTTTATTTATTTATTTTTTCGTTTATCAGATAATATGGGAAAGCACGCTTATAGGTGCAATCTTCCTAATCTTTCTTCAGCTAGCAAGATTTGTAGTAAGTGTCAACATATTTTTATCGATTGATTTATAAAAGAGTGATTATTGTTTTATATTATTTAATATTTATTAATATTTTCAGAAACAAAAGAAACCGAAGCTATTTTGGGTGTCAGCAATAGCTCCAATGTTTGTTGTCATAATTGGATGCGTTTTAGCATATGTATGGCATGCAGAGAAACATGGCATCGCAATCGTATGTCTAATTATTATTTATATGTGATTTAATGAATTTAAAAATAATAATAATAATAAAGAAAATCTTAAATATACTTTTACAGGTGGGAGAGTTGAAAAAGGGAATTAATCCTCCCTCTCTGAAAAATATAGATTTTGATCGGAAATATATAGCAGCACCTCTTCAAGCAGGATTTATAACAGCCTTGGTTGCTCTTGCTGTAAGTATACATTTAAAAAAAAAAAAAAAATCTAATTGTAATAATAATAATTGGATAATATATTTTTATTTACAATATAATTTGGGATTTTACAGGAAGGAATAGCAATTGGAAGAAGCTTTGCCATATTGCAAAACGAACAAATCGATGGTAATAAAGAAATGATAGCTTTTGGCCTCATGAACATTGTCGGATCCCTCACTTCTTGCTATTTAACTACAGGTTTTTTTTTCTTTTATCTAATTAGTTAAAAAACACAAATAAATATCAATTGATTTTGTAAACAAAAAAAAAGAAAAAAAAAACTTTTTTTTTGGGTGATTATATGGTTTAACCATATGCTGTCAGACATTTTCCAAATGAATCGTGGTTAATTTGGCAAAATGTCTGAAACATTTATGGTTACTGTCCAAAATATAATGTTTTTTATAGTTTGTTAATTAATTTATTCAAAATGGATGAAAGTTTTATTAAACTGATTTTCCTTTTAATTTTTTTTTATTGTAGGGCCGTTTTCGAAAACCGCAGTGAATTACAATGCGGGGTGTAAAACACAAATGGCAAATGTAGTTATGTCACTATGCATGATGCTAACATTATTATTCTTAGCACCACTCTTTAGTTACACTCCTCTTGTTGCACTTTCGGCTATTATCATGTCTGCAATGCTTGGTCTTATTGAATATGATAAAGCTTACCATCTTTTTAAAACCGATAAATTTGATTTCATCATTTGCATGGCTGCTTTCCTTGGTGTCGCCTTCATTAGCATGGATGTTGGCCTAATGTTATCGGTACTTTTTTTTTCTAATAATTTTGTATCTACATCATTGTCATGTTTACAGAATTGGACTGGGCGTGACAAGATATGACAGAATTTGAATGGACTCGACTATACAGTATACAGAACATGATAGACTTTTTATGGTTGTTTTAACAATAGCGAGACATTTACAACTTTTCCTCAAATGAGATTTCATAAGTACTTAATCTAGAAAACTATAAATGTTGTCTTTTACTAAATATGGATAAAATAGCTTTATGGGTTAAGCCAAACAAAACCAAACTGTATTAAGACACTAACACTTACCTATTTATCTTTATTCTTTTTTTTTTTCTCCCAAATCCTTGAATGTTAAATATGATAAATATTGTTAAAATCAATGAATATTGTTAAATTTGTATTTCAGTAAAGATAACATAGTCATTTAGTTTTGGTTAGACAGTCTATAATGTATAGAAAATTAACACGTATACAACACTTTATCCACAATCATTACTCGTTAAAACTTAAGTCATTTTACCCATACATGTCTTAATAGAGAAAAAAAAGACACAAACCCTAAGTTTGAGTCCAAACGCAGTATAACTTGTTCTATTATAAGTAACAAACTTACCGTAAATAAATATATTTTTTAATTTTTTGTAGGTGGGATTGGCATTGGTGAGAGCACTTTTGTATATAGCTAGACCGACAAGTTCTAAGCTTTGTAACATACTAGATACCAGTTTATATCGTGATGTAGAACAATATCCTGGTGCCACTGACATTGCTAAGACTGTAATTGTACAAATTGGTTCTCCAATATACTTTGCGAATGCGGGTTACATGAGGGAAAGGTATAAATTCTTAATTCTCATTTTCATGTATATCATAAAATTTTAGAAACTTAATGTTAAAATATTAGTATTTTCTTAATGATTTTGGAATATTTTGAAGGGTTTTGAGATGTGTTAGAGATGAAAAGGCTAACCGACTTCAAGGAGATGATGTTGAGTACGTTTTATTAGACTTAGGAGGTAAGATCCAAAGGCCGAAGGGTTTTCTTTTATTAAATTTAAGGAATTATATATGTTCATTTATTAGAATATTGTTAATCATTATTTTGGTTTATTTAGGAGTTTCATCGATTGATATGACGGGGGTTGAAACCCTAGTTGAAATTCGCAAAACTCTAGAAGCCAAATATATAAAGGTAATTAACAACCCTCAATTTTAAATATTAATTTCTTTCTTAACAAAATTTAAATATTTACGACTAATTTGTAATTATTTATGTTTTTTAATATACAGGTTGTCTTAGTAAATCCGAGACTTGAAGTGATGGAAAAGTTAATTGTGACAAATTTTATAGAAAAAATCGGGAAAGAACGTGTGTATCTATCAATCGAAGATGCAATCGAAGGATGCAAATTTTCATTATCACATGAAAGATATTTGTAGCAAAGAAGTTGATGATGAAAAAGAAAGTCTTTGATTTATTTGTAGTGCAGGAATTAGCTGAAAAGAACAAGTTATATTTGTTATATGCGTGATTAATTGTAAATGCACGAGTCATTCATTGTTTGTTGCAATATAAAGTTTGTATGAAAACAAATAATTACTTATTAGTAAATTGAAAGAACTTTTTTTAAAAAAAAATAAATAGTTAATAGATCAGATCGAAGATGTGAGTTTTCATTTCTATATTTGTGTAATGTTTTTCAGAGTAGCTAAAAAACTAACATGTAAATAAAAAGATAAAAAACTAACATGTAAATAAATAGATAGGAGCAAATTGATAAATTGTTTATAAAAAACGATCTTTGATAAAATTAACTGATAAATTACCTGAAATATATAAAATAATAAAAAACAACGGCATGTAGAAAATTAAGACTTCTATAATTAATTAGTGGTATATTTTGAAGAAATTTTAAAAAAACACGAGCAGTTTGTTGTTGAAACACTATTGTGAATAATTTTTTAAAAACTAGTTTATAATTACTTTTTTTTGTTTGATAAAAATAACAACATGAAAAAACTATAATAAAATACAAATTAAGAATATTAATTAATCTTAATAGCATTTAAGATCTTTATTATGTGTCTTTAAATTTAAAAACTACTTGTATAATTTGTTTATGTTATAATACTTTATGCAAATATGATTTATATGCATTAAAAGATTTTTTTTATAGAATTATTAAAAGATTTTATTTATGAAGCCATTACATTTACTTTTTTTTTCTGTTTAAACTAACCTTTTTTTATTTCAAAAAAATATTAGATTTTTTCATTTTTTTATTTTTCTCTTTTACCACGCTTATATATATATATATATATATATATATATATATCTATATATATATATATATATATATATATATATATATCTATATATATATATATATATATATATATATATAATGGTTTCACATAAAAAATTTCTGCTCAACTTTCTTTTTCGAAAACATCTATCAACTTTTTTATCAAGAAAAACCATAATATTTAACAATATTTTTAGTTTTGAATATTCCTTCGTTTTTCTTATTGCTGTTGTTTATGGTGTTGTGAATCTTTTCTAACATTAAAATTTAAAAGACATTTTTTTAACAAAGAGAAAGGTTGGTGTTTCCATTTACTGTTGAAAAATACATATCAAAATATATTTGCATGATGTTTTGTAATAATAATAGTATGTGAAAAACAACGATGTAAACTGAATTAACATCTTTTATCATTTTTTAGAATCAAACCGAAAACAACTTCAAAATTAAAGAACCGACCATGTTTTAAATCAAGTGAAAAAAAAAAACCAATTTTGTTTGTTGATTGGGGAAATGGAGATGATGATGGTTGGTTGAAGATGAAGGTCCAAAGGTGACAAAGGTCTAGTGGTGACGTAGGGATGGTGATGACTCGTCGCTATAAATGATAGAAAAACTTGATTTCTTTCATTACAATATATATATATATATATATATATATATATATATATATATATATATATATTATATATATATATATATATATATATATATATATAATGAGGATTAAGGGAATAAGGAAAAGATTATGATTAATTGATTCCCTTAACATTCCCCCGCAAGACGGACGATCTAGGGAGGAGTCCGATCTTTGATAGTAAGGTGGAGAGATGTAAATTTAATAAAGGCTTTGTGAGAGCATATGTGAGTTGATCATTAGATAAGATGTGAGTGACACGTACGGTGGAGTTAGCGACATGTTCATGTACAAAATGGAAATCTAGATCCAAGTGTTTCATGCGAGAGTGGAAATTGGATTTGCAAAGTAGTGTATGGCACTTAAATTATCATAATAAACAACGCATACTTCCGAGGAATTGTATCCTAGTTCAGACGTAAAGGAGATCAGCCATACAATTTCGACTGTAGTAGAAGCAAGTCAAGCAACTGCTCGAAACTCAACTTATTTGGAAGAACATGCTAGGTTTCGTTGAAGTTTAGAGCTCCATGTATTTGGATTTCAACCAAGATAGGTAATGTAGCTTGCCGTACTATAGAAATTGTAAGAACTTGAAATTTAGAGAAACTTGACTTTTAGTCGAATATTGCCTAAAGGACAAAATGGTCAATTATGAGAAAAATATGAGAAAAGGAAGTTGTGACTTCATGGGAATGGCCGAAATAAGTTTAAGTCACTTAGAGGAGATTAGATGAGTATGTTAAAGAGAAAGAATGCTTGAGAATATGCATTTTTTTGTCAAAAGGGGTAAAATGGGAATTTTATGTTTTTTGGCCAAGTTTGTGACTTAATAGATTAAGACATGTATTAAGTTAATGAGATACGACTTAACAGAAATGTAGACTATGTTCTCACCTTTGCGTGGATATAAAGATCATAGAAAACATGTTTAAGACGAAGAAAATATGAAGGTTTGAAGATTGAAGAAAAATGACCCAAAGTTTGAATAGAATCAGCCAAGGAGCTGTTGTTAAGCAGTTACCACGGTCCGGTGGATAGATCACCACGACACGGCGGGACTCCGTCGTAATAAAGAATGGAAATGTACTTTACCCTGCGGTGGTATATGGGTGCCACGGCGCGGTGGTCAAAGTAGGATGGTGGTGGAGGAAGAGCGCCACAACGTGGAAACTAAGTGGTGATCATTGACCGAGGACAACTGGTCACCGCCGTGCGGTAAACAAATGATTGTGGCACGGTTACATATCAGAGTTAAAGGCTGTTAAGCCTTCATTATCACAAAAAAAAATCCCCAAAACTCTTTCGAGCTAAGCTCTGATGATTCCAAGTAAAGGACACAATAAAGAGACGATTAACAGTGTTTAAGGCTTGGATTACAAATGAAAAGCTCATGAGGTAATCTTATTCTTCATTTTTATGATAGTAGCGCTTCAATGGTGTTCTTGATGATTTGAGCTAATAGAGTTAGATTATGTTAAGAAAGCTTGTTAGTAATGTTAATGAAGGTGTTTAGATGCATTAAACAAGCTTTGTATGTAATCCCCATGGCCATGAGTGGGATGAATCCAATGAGAGTCAGGGTTGGACACCCTACCTAGTGATTATGTGTAATTTGATTCATTAGATGTTAGATTATAATGAATTAGGTATTATGGGATTCTTAATTCATTAATTGATTGGGAGTAAGAGATAGAGAATGAAAATATAGAATTATGATCCATTAAGTGGCTATTTTGACTTAAAGAGTCAATAAGTTCTTAATAAGTTAAAACAAGTATTAAGATACTTGTATGTATGTATGAATAGGCCTAAGAGCAAAGAAGATGGATCAAGATGCATCAACTGAATAAAAGGAGCCAAAGTGGGACAGTAAGTCTTCAATAACTTATAATGTGAGTTATAGCTCTCACTCTTTCTCTTTAAATTATATTATACATTTTATGTATCTATATATGTATGTTTTTATGTAAAGATTAATGTACCTGAGCATGACATAAAGGAATAAAGAATAAGATTATATTGATTATAATCCTATGCAAGTTTATGTAAATGTGGTTATACATGTAAGACATGTATATGAGTATGTATGTATAACCGAAGTACGAATAGATGTATAAGGAGAAGATATGGGTATTATGAGTTATACCTATAAGAGTAAATAAAGAAAGGGTGGGATTATATATAATATAATCCTATGTATGGTTAGAGATAGGTAAGGTATTTGTTAAAATACCCAAGAGAAAGTAGAAAGAGTTAAAAGATGATTAAATGTAGTATAATCATAAGAGTGTGTATGTATGTCTAGACACTATTGGTATTATGTATAATACCTATATGTTACTAGAGATAGATAAAAATTAAGTAATTAATGAGTTAAGTACTAGATGAGTAGAAAATATCTGCTAATGAGATAAAGAGATAGATTGTCCATAGGACAAGTGTTATGTGATGAGTCACAAAACAAAGATAGAGATGTAGAGAAAGATGGTTCCTTCGTAGACGAGAGATAGAGATTCCTTCGTGAGTAAGAGTATGGTTCCTATGGGGACAAGAGTATGATCCTTTCAGGAAAAAGAGTATGATTCCTTCGGGAATGAGAATATGTCCCTACAGGGAAAGAGATGATGATTCCATTTGGGAATTTAGATAGATGATTCTTGCGGGAATCCGTATTGTGTATGTTTCGAAAAGACAGAGAAAGGTTCATTGAGAAGAATAAGATAAGAGAGTTCTTTGTAATAACTTAAATGTAATCCAAGAGAGATTAAGGGCATGTTTGGTACAGAGAAATAGAATTGCATCACATAATGAAAATGCAGAGAAAGAGAATTAAGCTAGAAAAAAAGAATTGTTTCCACTGTTTGGCACAATTAGGAATTCAATAGATAAATGTACATGACACTTTTTTTTGTTTGGTTGTATTTAACAAGAAAAGATAAATAATCTTTTTATAATTTTTTTAAACAACATTTTTTTTGTAATAATATCATTATGAGTTATATATTAATTTGTCAAAATTATACATTTTTATTTTTTTTAGTTGTTAATTTTGTCAATAATGTTTTACCATGCATTTTTTATAATTGCTAATTAACATTTCACATATATATTTACAAATGCAAAACATACATGTTTAAAAAAAAGGATAATATATATATATATATATATATATATATATATATATAATATATATATATATATATATATATGAAATGTTAAAATAGTTATGTAACATACATGAAAATAAAGTAGGACGTGATAATAAAAAGTGGCATAGAGTTTAAACATGAGATGAGCTTGGTACTTCCAAGTCTCCACTATTTTTTTTTAAATTTCTCCTTGTGTTTATTTTGCCTTTTCTCCTAGTTTCTCTTTAAAATGTGGAGAATTAATTAGGTGGAATGAGAATTAGTTTTCTCTTCCATTTCCTTATTCTTGCTAGTAAATAAACATGGGAAATGGAATGAATTCCATTTCTCTTCCTTTATTTCACTGTACCAAACACCCTTTAAATGTATAAAACTTAGTGTTAGCCTAGTTCTATAACCTTGACGACTATTTAA